AATCAATAAAATATAATAGAATATTATCCAATTAAATTTATAATATGAATTAATCAATAAAATAAGAACTAAATATTTATATCATAACACTATATAATATAAATAAAAATATTTTTTATAACAAAAATTTGTAAAAATATATCTTTTTTAATAATTATTATATTTATATTTTATTAAAAATTCATAAGAATAAAAAAGTAAATCTAAACTTTATTTAATAATTTTTATATTTATTTTTGAAAAAATCAAATATTTTATTTGTTTAGTTTTATTAAACTATAACTTTTATTTATTATAAATTGTTAGCAATACAATTTAATTAATTTTAAAAAATAATTAAATATTATTAAAATTACTTTTTATTTCTTATTTAAATTCAGATAGAAATAGTAATTATTATTGTGATAATATAGAATGATAAAATGATAAAAAAGCACAAATAGTTAAAAAAATATTATTGAAAACAATTAAATTAACAATAATAATTATATTATAAAAATAATTATAATGGAATTTTTAAATAATATAACAATAATAGAAATAATTATAAAAATTTGATTATATAAAATACATGTATTTTAAAATAATTTGTAATTATTTAATTAATTTCAACATATACATATTGATCTTGTAATTTGATTGGTTACACAATCGTTAAAACAAGATATATCCAAATTAAAATTATATTCAATTGGTTAATAACAATATCAATGTATAAAAAACAATTACATAATGATAAACAATGAACAAGAATACGATTTTATTTTAATATAAAAAGTAAATATATATGTTTTATTTACCTCTGGTCCATTTTTCTATTTGCATTTTTGGTTAGGAAGAATAACTTTTCATCACATTGTTCAACATAAGTATTGTGTTGTGCTCGAATTGTACTTTTAAAATAGTATACAGAGGATTTTATAAAAATACACAATATATTTTCTCACTCAATCTTCAAAATGTCCATGTTTAATAAGCCAATGCGAACTTATGGAAATCTAAACTACGAACAAACTTTATAAAAACTACACTAATAGTAATAATATAGTACAAGAAAAAATGAAAAAAAAATGTTTCTGCAATCTGTGTCTGAAAATTGGATTACGCCAATAAAGAATAGCAAGTGAAAAATAGAAAATCGAATTTTAAATTCTTAAGAATTAAGCTTACAAATATCACAAAAACCGATATTCTATATTCAAAACAATATCTTTCATTTATGAAGCTTCCGAGCGCATCCAAGATAAACATAATTAATCTTGTATAGAAAGATACAATTGGCTAAAGTACAAATAGTCATTCAAAAAAAGCAGAAATGATATGAATAATATAATAATTTTTTTACGCGTAGATTAGGACTGCGCAGTAGCATTTGAAATAATAATAATAATAATAAATAAATAAAATATAATAAAAAATATAGAAATCAAAATGTCCACTTAAAGAAGAGAAATGTATGTAATGTCATTTTTGGCTTATTAATAAACCTTGTAGAAAAATCAGCGAATAAAAAATAATGAAAACACATTACGGACGTGTAATATTATTATCAAATCTTTATTGATGATTGACAAACTCGCAAATGTTTTTTTTGGGGGAGGGGAACAAAAATGATGATAAAATTACTCTTTTATGTGCTGCTCTTTACTCTTGTCATTGTTGATTTTTTTCTCGTTTTATCCTTTGTCGAACTAGCAGTGGCTTTCCGACTCGTCGTTTTACTTTGAGCAGATGATGGTTTTGGTGTATTGTGCGAAGACGAACGGGTTGGTCGTTTTTCACTGTGAGCGCTTTCTCGTTCTTTTGTTGGAGCGGTATTAACAACGGGGGTTGCGGAATTGACTGTAGGTCTATGCTTTCTTCGATTTTTCGAACATCCGTCGGCATCCAATAAATGTTCTTTCCATCCTGCTTCGGTGGCAGGTTTCACCACACTTTTACATAAAGGACATCGAACTATATGTGACGGGATGACCATACATGATTGAGTTGCGACGTGCTCCAAATAATTATCAGCCGGGATAACTTCACGACACCGAGGACATTGTTTAACAAATTTGCTCTTGTCACAATCGTTTAACATGTGATCGTCTAATGTAGATATTTCCAATATCTATTATTTTCAATACGATTAGTATTCGGTGTATAAATTATTTAAGGAACAAATAACTCGATGGCGAAAATAATAAGATTACATACCATATTACACAAAGCACATTTAGTCAACACTGGACAATCATTCCAGTAGTGAGTAACCAAATTTTCTTCTGTAAATGCATCATTATGTTCATCACAGAAAATACAGCATCTAAAAATTCATTTTAAATTAGTTATTAGAATATTTCAAAGTCTCATTTATATGACAATTATTTCAGATAATCGTATAATACCTGTCACTTTTTAACTCATCATCAGCATCTTCAGGTACAGGTGCAGGCGCGGGTTGTGGTGGCTCAACGGGTTTAGCTAAATATTAAGTTAGAATAACGTGCATCTTAGCATTAAATCTCCTATGCTAATCAGCAGAAAAAATAATAAAACTTACAATTCTTGGAAGAGGGTTTTGAACTTTTGGTATCTTCTGTAGACCCTCTTCGAGTATGCGTAGTTGCTGTTGTTGATTTACCATTAGATGCGGTTCGAGTGCTGGTTCCAGAAGCTAGTTTTGATGAGGATCTCTTACGAGCAGCAGGGGCCTGTGATTCAACTTCATCGGATTTTTTAGGTTTTTTCGCAGTAGTACTAGATTTACCAGTTGAAGTAGTTTTTGTACGAGCGGCCGGTGTCTTTTTCGTTGTCGCTGTATTAACTGGAATGGGATCAACTTTAGGTGCAACTTCTGTTGGCTCGGATTGTGCAGGCGAAATGACCTGATCATCATTTCCACAAGATTCTGGTGCTGTATTTTTCTTTGTATTGGCGATATAAGTGTTATAATCATCAGCGACAAAATGGTTTACATTGTTTACCAACGCTCTAACTTCCATAAGTTGTTGTTCGAGACGTGTAACAGTTCCTCGTTTTGCTAATGGACGTTGTAAGAGTTCTTCGTCAACATCAAGCATCGTTAAAACTGGAGGAGGAGCAGGAAGAGCACTCACAAGTTTACAAATATTCTAACAAATATAAATTAAAATGAATTAATAATAGAATTTAAATAATTGAATTGAATAACAATTGATTCTTACATCAACAATTAGTGGCTTGACACCATCAAGGTATCTCTTGACAGCCTCAATGTTCGAATATGAATTTCGGCAAACTTCAACGACCAATTTCACAGCAGCATCACGAACTTCTCCATTACTGTGATTCAAATAAGAGACCGCCACTTCCATAACACCCTCGAGACTAAGACCTGTATCTTTTTCGAATTTGCCTTTAGGGATCATAGCGATTCCAAATTCTTCAACTAGTCGAGTGATAATTTCCACTTTGGCTTTTGCTTGTTTCGGTAGTTGAGTTTGAGAGTGTGATGGTTTCAGTACGAGTGAGACGACCGTTTGGTTCGGTGATCGATATGTTTTCGCGAGCATGACAAAAAGATCGGTGGCGTGTTGTTTTATGCGTGGATTTGTGTCGGACATTTTGGCAAATAGTGATGGAAAGTTTTTTTCGATTAGTTTTGAAGTTGATGATTGTGGTACTTGGTGATGAAGAGCGAAATCTATAATAAAAATCATAGAGGAAAATTAATATCATTTGATAATTAAATTAATAAAAAAATTTCCAAAAAATAAACTTACTAGTTAATGCTTCCCACAAAGTGATAGTTTGCAAGGTCAATTTTTCTCGACTGTCAGTAAATCCTTCTTGCAATACTTGGAATGCAGCTTTTACCATGGTCACTTTATCGACACCCTCAATATCATATCCTTTCCCTTGCGTCACATCGAGTCTTTGAATAACTTCAGTCAAAGCAGTTTCGCGCCACTTGAATTTCTTCGACAATAAGCACGCAACTATTCTATCACCGAACATCGAAACAGACAATGCAAATGCTGATCGACCAAGATCCGAAAGGTCTTCTAATTCATCATCATCATCAACCACCGGAGGAATAACCGGTGATCTAGAATGAGAGAGAGCAGGCAATGGACGTTCATCCTCAAATGGTTCACGTATTGTCGGATTATTATTATTATTATCAACAGCGGAAGTAACAGCAGGAGTCGAAAATAATGTTGCTTTGTGTGATGTTGGTGATGTTGGAGTCAACGGTTCTTGATCGGACGCGTTCATACGTGAAGCGTTACTACTTGTTCGACTTTTTGGGGCGAGATTTAATGGAGATGGTGAACGATGTAGATCGTCAGTTTTTATGATCAGATGATGTGGATGTTTATCAGTGTTTCGTTGACTTTTATGATGGGTACTGTCTTGACGTCTTGGTTGTTGGTGGTTTATGTGATCATTGAAAGTTATGTCAGGAGTGTTCTTACGTGATATTGTTGTTGGTTGAGATATCGGAGGCGATGGTGCATGAACAGTCTTTATAATTATTAATAATTACATTAGATTTTATATTTTGCATAAATTAGAGTTAAAAATTCTTACCTCAGCAAGAGGCGGCACTTGCGGACGCTCCGCTAATCCAACAATATCATTGACATCAGAAACGACAACCTCTCCATCTTCATCCAGCTGTATTCCCTCATCAATAATTGCGTTTTGGACATTTGTTTTTATTTCTTCGATTTTCTTCTGTTTTATTTTGAAAGAAGACAGATTTGATTCGTTAGAAGTGAAAGAGGATGATGACAGGACGTGAAGATAGGTATTTCGTATTTGATATGCAAAGATAATAATACCCTTAGGCTTACATAACATGAACAACACATACACTTGCCTTATACTTTGCAGCATTATCATAGTCTTCGTCTTTAATTGCTTTTTGCTTCAAGACGTCAAGTTGTCTGATTTCACTGGCACTCTAATTAATTAATTAATAATTAAGAATTGAATCAAAGTAATTCGAGAAATTAATTGATAAAACTGTATTTACATTTTGTACTAGTTCAATAGAGCTCTTGAACACTTTGGCCAGATGGAAATCCTCAACTAAAGTAATGCACAGGTAATTTAGTATTGCGACAATAAGAAAAAATCAAACAAACATATTATAATTACTTTTAACAGCCTTCTCTTTGGCTCTGCCAAATGCAGAAACCAAGGTAGCAGTTTGTTCTGAATCCTGTAAAAAGTCTGTCGGTTTTTCTGGGGCCACATTATTGTTATCGTCTTTGTAACTATCGACCGTTGTTGAAGGAAGTATAGAATACAAAGATGTGGAATTATTATCATTATTCGTCGAATTTTTGTTATCGATATTTGCGTTTGGATTCCATTGGTTCATATCTTGTATTATTGGAACTACACATGTTTCAGGTGACGCTACTCGTGAGACATCTTCGTCTACGTGCTATAATTATTTTTATTTTTTTTTTAGATGAAATCAAAAATTTGCAAAAATATCAAGATCATATATTTAATATAATTACTTCAAGCGGTATCGTCTGACTCTCGCCATCGAGTAAATCATCGACAGGTTCACCCATCACCGTTATTCCAACGATTCCAACCTTTCAAAAAATAAAGATGTTAATTACTACACAACACAAAAGCGCGATAAAGATATGAAGACAGAGAATTGATTATTACCTGATTACACTGATTCAAATGATTTGGATGACATTTACGTGCCACGAAACGTATATACTCGCCTTCCGTATCTAATCTCACGGATTTTAGTTCGCGAGCTTTGTAATGTGCTCGTTCGTTACTATCTAACGAACAATAACCTAATCGCCGAAAATGAACATAGGGCTCATCGTTTAACTTTTCCAAATCAATGTTATCTTCATCTGTCGATAATTCTTTTGGCCCTTCCGCTGCTATTATGTTATCATCATTGTCAAGATTATTTTCATTATCTACGACTTTGGTCATCTGATCCCATGGTAATGTCTCTGATCTATTACTATTCTTACTAACTACATTAGTATTGTTGTTGTTATTAGAGTTTGTTGAAACCATGCCAACTATATCCTTTCGTTGTTGTACAGATCCTACGTATATGTCTAATTGACTGGTTATTTTATAGTGATGTGATAATATTTGTATTTTTAGAATTCGAGCAGGTCCACTCGTCAATTGCAGTATTATCTCTTGTGGATACGAACAAAATCTGGATGAGTATATCAAACAACGTTAGTATTTGATCAAATCGATGATCGTCATCGAAATTACCAAATTTGTTGACCATTAAATTTTACCTTGGTGACTGCCATCCTTTGCCATGTTTTACACCAGCGTTAAGGTGGTTGTTGTTGCTTCCATCAAAATGTAGTCTGTCTCTTGGAATCAACTGCTCGGGCGGATAGTTATCGTCCCACCCAGTTGCGTGAATAACGTCAAACTCTAAATGCTGTAATGGCATGTGATAATAAGGTATTGCGGGAGGTGGTAATATGTATCTGTGACGAAAGTGAAAAGGAAATATGGGAGCAGGAGCTTTTATGGGTACTATTGCGGGTGAAGAAGAATAGTCTGGTAAGGTAGTTGTAGTAGTCGTAGGATATGTTTCGCCTTGTTCTTCTTTTATTATAGACTGCTCTTGCTCTTGTTCTTGTTTCTCTTGTTGCTCCTGTGATTGAGGTTGTACCACTTGTTGTGCTTCTTTGGTGGTTGCTACTACGATTTCTTGTTCTTGTTCCTGCTGATGTTCGTCAGGGAGGAGTTGAAATTGCTGTTGAGATTCGAGTTCGAGTTCGAGTTCGAGTTCAATCGTCATATTGTACAAATAAATAAATGTTTTTATTGGATGAGAAAAAAGTTTATAATGTAATAAAAATATGTATAATAAATTAAAGGCAAATGTCTATGTTTCTGTATGTCGTCTGTCTGTTTCTTGCTGTTTGTCTTTCTCTGTCTTTGTCTGTCTGTCTGTCTGTCTCTGCCTCTGCCTCTATCTGCCTGACTCTGACTTTCTTTTGTTCTGTTTATAGGATACAAGCAAAGTATATTGGTTTGCAACTATCTGTATGTATGTCGCTGGAATGACAATGCTGAAGACGCACGCGCGCACACACTACACACACACTCTATTCAGGGTTATTTGATATGGTAAAAGGTGAAGGGGTAAACGGGAAGTAGTAGTTTTCGAGGCGGTGAAAAGTAAGTGAAGTGCGGAAAAATAAAATTGAACAAAGAAAAACTTTTCATTTGGTGACGAGAAGTTTTAGTTGTCCTTTTAAGTGTATATTGTAGTAATATTCTAAGAAAAGGAAAATAACGAGAGTAGTTGCATAGGAGCAGTATTTTTTGTGTGTGTGTTATGTGTATGTGCGTGTATCTGCCGCTACGTTGTGAACCGAAATAATATTTTGTCGTTTTTTCTTTCTACCTTTTTCGCTTCTTTAGTCTGCTACTCTAAGATATATAGAACAATATTGAATCTGCACGTGTAATATAAAATGAAAATCGATCCTTTTTCTTCCCTTTGCGAATCGGAACACGCACATACATTAAATTGGGCTGAATGATCCACTTCCATTCAATATGTACTGGTTTATCGACGACGGATAATATCAATTATGTTGAGCTGATTGATAATATTGTGTGTCGGTCTATATATTATTCCTCTAATTACAATTATTTATTATACTGTGGTTCATTCAACAGCTTAATAATGCTCTTTTAGTCGCAGTACAGATTCACCGCCGCGGTAGAAAACGAAGAGGCAACTTGAAAAGACATCGACTCGCAGCAAAACAGACAGGCAGGCAGGCATATGACAAAAAGGAAAAGCCAAAATGATGTTTAATTATTAGTGAGCTAGCGAGTAAGCGAGAGATAAAATAAAATAAATAAAGTTTGTACTTTATCTTTTTTAAGTTATCTCTCATCCACTCGCATATTCGCATCTTATATTTAAACACTCGCAACTTATTCCGTCAATTAAGCCTCGATTACAAAGCTCTGTGTATGTATATAAATGCTCTGATTTTTTACGAACTCACCTATTTTATTACAGTAATATCAACGGATGGAATAGGTAAAGCGGAGTGAAAAGATACGGGAGACTTTGTGTGTCTGTTCGGATATCTAACGGAGAATAGATGGGATGACTATTTCGAATAGTCTGTTCTCTTCTTTTCTTTTCGTTTCGTTCTCTTTTCTCTCTCTCTCTCGTAAAGGTTCTCTCTGTTTGGTAATAATTTTACGTTCTATTATATTTCGTTTGTTATTTTTTGTATTTTTTATTATTTACTTTATTAATAAAAAAAAGAGCGAAAATTAGAGAGAGACTATTTATCAATTTTGCGTTCGCGACCGTTCTTTAATTTTTTTTCGATCTTCCTTCTTTAATTTCTTTACTATTGTGGATGATGATTATTATATGTTATTATTATATTATTTAAATGTTGGATGAGTGTATGTGCGCGCGCAAATAATGCTGGGTTCTTTTTTTTTTTGTTAATAATAATGTGTGTGCAGGTTTATGGAGAATGTGTATTAGTTGTATGTATGTATGTCTATTATTATGTGATGTTGATTATTATTATTATTAATGCTATTATTACTATTGTTAATACTATTAATATGATTATGTATTATAAAGTATTATTTTTATTAAATATTATAGAAAAAAATTAAAGAAAAGAAAAAAAGTAGAGAGAGGAGAAAAAGTGGAGGGAAGAAAAGAAAGAGATCAAGACGTATAATGGTTCTTTTTTTTGATGCGGTGGTTATTGTGGTGTGTGCTGTTTTACTGCTACCATGATGATGGGTTTTTTGTTGTTTCTGTTCTTGTTTAGTGGTGTTTTGTTTTGTTTGGTGTAGTGCGAGAAATTAAAATTATTGTTGTGTATATGCGATTTTTGGTTAGCGTCAATAGATAAACAAATCTTTTTTATTGTATGCAAGTTAATATTATACATGACCGATATGTATAAATGTGAGTTCATTGGTAAATGTATTATGATATTAAATACTCATTCGTTCATTAATAGATAGATAGATACACAGTTTTGTTATTTTTATACTAAATATAAAAAAGTGCGTGAACGAAAGAAAAAACAGAGGTGGCGGAGTTTGTAGAAACCAGTATTTTGCTTTTTATAAAGGTGGCGAAGTTGAAAAATTATCTAGTTTATAAATATCAATAAACAAATGTTACAAGCAATGATAATGTCTTTAGTTGGACCCTTTTACTAAATTTCCATCCTATCTGGTTTTTTTTGACGTCTTAATTTTTTTTGTTAAATGAATTGTGGGATTTCCATAAAAATAATACGTTTGCATCCTAAAAAGGCAAAAATACAAATCAATAAAACAAATTCCAAATACAAATCAATAAAAAACCCACGTAAAAAAATACCATATTCGACATCTGAAAATTGTTATAGAAATTCCTCAATCGATCGTGTCATTCACCCACTGCAGCATTGCGCTAATTAATCCATTAGGTCATTTTGGACGTACATTTGATTGGTCAAAATTCTGATTTAGTTCGAAACAATTAATTTCAATGAAATCTAAAATAATCTCCGAATATGAGCGAAATCAGTTAAAATTCGAAAGCAGAATTATGTGCGTCTGACTGATAACCTGTAAACATTTACGAACAGACACCATGGCAAGAGCCAAGGCAAATCTTGGTAATATCGTGATGATGATGCTTAGGCGCGTGATTTTTCTTGTGACTAGTGCGTGATTCTTCCCTAAATTATCACGGGTTAAAATTGGATTTTCAACTGACATAACATTGATTATTTGTTTAAAGACTATCCTATCTCAATCTGTCAACGAAACATAATTGTTTTTTTTTTGCCTATTGTTATCCTTTTTGTTACTTGAAGTTCCACAACATTATCACCCCCACCGTCCTCTTCTTTATTCCTAAAACTTGTGTGGAGCAGTTACGCGACATGTGACCAATCATCACGCAGGAGATATAAATAAATAAAATGTAATATAACGATTAATAAATTTAACAAATTCGGGGAATTTTTAGTTTGTTGATTATTTATTACTACATAGCAGTAAAGAAAGAGAAGTATGATTGCACATATGCCATATACATATATGCACTGATAATTGAATCATAGATAAATTTTTTTCCATTCTAAATGATTTTCGTAATGTATTAAATTTAATTAATTACACAATATGATGTTCACATCTATTGTGATTATGAGGAAGATCATCAAATTCATTTTGATAATAAAATTTTCGGTAATAAGATTTTGTTAATAAAAACATTATTTTCCTGTTTAGTATCTTTTTTCGGTTTTGTGTCAAAGCGTGTGTTACCTCCCATAGTTAAATTGTTGATTATTATTATACTCGGTTATTTATGCGAACTATCACTGTATAGTAACACGATCTTTCGCTTCATGGGGTCTCAGAACCTAGCATTTCTGTGTATTTCTTTCCTTGGGGGTTTTTTTAATTGATTGGTGTTTACTCTTGTTCAAAACATGTTATACACAAACAAATTTTTTAAAATTCGAGTATCAGTATGATGAAATGAAGAATCAAGGGTTAGTATTAGGGTTTGAATGACTGCACTATTATACTCTTTGTTTTGATTTCGTTTGATTTTCAAGCAAAGAGGGAAAGGGTAAAGTCCACTTACGATTTATCGTAACGCATTTATCTATTTTGAGTTGATAAGAGGATTTACTTTGATAATGAAAAAGAAACTTCTAAAATCCCTTTCCTGTTCTCTCGTGACAAAAAAAGGAAGAATAGCATCTCAAAATATCTATTGTGACGCCCTTTTTGCTTGATTTTTCACTTAAAGGTTTGTTGTTTGATTACTTAAAGAAATGAATGAATAAATCATTTGACGCTAGATTTGACACACTTAACTACAAAAAAACGAGAGTATATCAAGTTTTATTAGAAACTTCAATCCCATTTCTATTGTCAGCATTGGTACAACCATGACTTGTCTACGGACTAAAGATCTTCTTAATACATAAATGTAAAGAGGATCGGAAGAGACAAAATCTCTTTCTCTTTTTCTTTAGTGTGAGAATCTTTTATATGGCATCTCTTTCTTCTCTTACCCTTTTTTTTCACTAACGTAATGCAAGATGCGTGTAAGTTTGCAGCATTTATGTAATATAGGTACAATGGCTTCTTTTTGGCTGCATCAAAACAAAAATGCGTGGCTAATAGTTTGATTGACAATGCAGGCTGTAGTGAGTAGCGAGTGTGAGAGAATATCGATATATAAAAATTCTCTTTGATGTGGATTTCGATCTTTGTATATCGATATGTAAGCTTGTATAGCCCTTTCGCGAATCTATTTTTTCTAGCTCATAATTGTGTAATGCAATTTTGCGTGTTTACATGTGTACGACTATTTCGTAGGAGATACTGTTTCGGATATTTGTGAAAGAACAACTTTCTGCTTTCCTTATCGTAATTATTCTACTGCGTATTAAAACGAAATAAAAAAAATGGAATACTGCGTAAAATTTCTTTTATGCAAATCGATATTTTCTTAAAGCTGGCAAGAATTACTGTCAAAAATTATATAATTATTTATTCGATTGTCCTTGTAGAGTCCTGCCAAATGAATATCTTTTACGTATAGGGAAGGTCATTTTTGTTGATTCCAGTGGATTTATGATATTTTTATCAATAATTTTAGTGAACTTGCGCATGTATGCTATGAATCTAATTTGGTGTCTATAATTAATCTCGCTTAATCCACATTAAGTAACTTGCACTAAATGGTCTCCACCTTTTGACAAAGACTATGGTTAACACAAAGCGGCATGAAATTATTGCTCTGCCCACGAGCTATTCATCTGACTGACTTCTTCCAAGCTGTAATCTCCACCTCCCTCTATCTTTGTTCATATGAATATATTACAAACACGGTCTGTTGTGTATAATAAAGATTATGACTTGAAATAAATACTAACAATAAAAAGCTAATTCGTGTCAAACTTACCATACACATGTTCTTACATCACAATGAACAATTTGAATTGGCTAAAATCCATTCACCCTGAAAAATGATGCTTTAATTCTTTGTATAGACGTTGCCATTGTTGAATACTCGGATTGTTTGTGTGATTCTTATGCTATTTGCTGATCTTTCAAGTATAAATTGCGTCACTGTCAAAGTATTCATATGTCTTAGAATATTGTGCATTAACGTTCAACTGTTTTTTTAAGTATGAGATTACCGTTTAGTATGCAGACAATATTATCCAATTTAGCCCTGGGAGAAATTAACGTTAATTAGTAGACGAAATGGGCAAAATCTATTTGTATTTGTTTAACATATAACGATAATATGATTGTAAAGAAACGGAAATGTATCATTTTTTTGTTATCACCATAATTCCTATTTTAGGGCAAAATATTTAGCCTTTTAAGGTTGGATTTTGTTTTATCGTGAGAATATTTCATTTTATCACTCTTATCTCTAATCATAATCATTTTGAACTTGGATTAGCAACACGAGTATAATTGCGAGTTCGAGAATCATAATTATTCTGCATAACACAAAAATTCTTTTTGCTTAATAGTTTCCAAATAAATAACGACAAAGAATTTATAATACATATGCGATGAAATATAAAAATTCGATAAAAATAACATTTAGCTGATATTTTTGATATACCCCCAGAAAAGTAATGGCCGGAGATTTTTTTATTATACTTTTTTTACATAATAATTTAATTTAAAATTTTATTTTTATAATATATATAAGTAAGACTTTATATCCTAGAAATATTATATTTTTTTAATATTAATGTAATAATTTATTTATTAAAAATTTCCAAATAATATAAATTTTTTTACTTTTTGTTAAATATTTAAGAAATAATTAATATTTTATGCTAATTTTTTGGAATTAACTAGATATATATCGGGGAAACAATTTTTTTAATGGGCCAAAACTGATTTATTAATGTAATTTTCGAATTATTGAGCTTTATTTAGTGGCGATCCCTCTCTAACTGAACCATTTGTAAAAAATCTTTAAAGTATTAGAAAAAAGTGTTCAGCCGATCGATTTACAATTACCATAAAAATTTCAGAAAAGTAGACATTTTCTGTGATTTTTAATGTTAATTTAAACGTTAATTGGCCATTACTTTCTGGAGGAATTGTATCAGTTTTTATTTGCAGTTATTTGATCTTGAAACATTGAAAAATGCCAAATTATCAAAATCTGTCTAAAACTACACAATTTTTCAAATCTTGAAAATTCAAGTTTTAATATTGCAAAGTATATAGCAGCATCAATAAAACATATAGAAATGCTGAGTTTTTTTATATAATAGTTTTTAACTTTATGTTATTATATATTTTTTAGATTTTTGAATTCAAACTGAATTTCACTTTCTAATTGTAACATTATAAATTTTTGCTAATCGGTTGATTAAATTTTATAATTAAAAAAGTTATAAATATTATTTAAAAATAAAATTTTTATTAGTAAATTTTTATATAGAGAAAAATTTGTATTTTTATATATTTTATTAATAAATCTTAATATCATTGCATTTTTTAAAAGAAATATAATAGTATCAAAATTTATTAATAAAATATAATAGCATACTTTTTGTTTTATATAAAAGTTTTCAATTTTACTAATTAATAATTTTTATTTTTATATAAAAATACAAATAATAATTCATATATTTTATATATTTTAATTATTACTTATTTTATAATTAAAAAAACTTTTTCAAATTAAATCTAAAAATATATGAATTATAATTTATATATATAATTATATTATTGAATTTAATAATAATTTTTCTAATTTACAATTTATATAAATAATTAATATAAATATTAATATTATATAATAATTATATATATAATATTAATTAAAGATACTTATCTAAATTGTTTTTAAAAAGAATACTTACAGAAAGTAAAAAAAAATATTGGACATTTTTATTTTATTAATTACTTAAAAATGTATATAATAAATTATTTTTAAATTTTTAAATATAATAGTTTATAATTATATAAATAAAATAACAAATTTTTATATTTTTTGATTTATTGATTGTTAAAAAAATCAAAATCAAAATCAAAATCTACTTACAAAATTAATTTGCTGTATTTTTTATTTAAAAAAAATTAAATTTAAATATTTTAATAATTGGCAATTAGAATTTATTATTTTTTTTATTTTATAAAATTAAATATACTTTAAAAAATATAAAAAAATTAGTTAATTTTGATTACCAGTTAATAAAATAAATATTTTAATCTTTTAAAATTGTATTTTTAATATGTTTTTTCAGTTATATTAATAAATTTTGATTTTAATTTTTTAATAATTAATAAATAAAAAATATAAAATTTTGTTATTTTATTTATAGTAGCAATCAAAAAGAATGAAACACTAAAACAAATTTATTAATAAAATATAGTAAAAATATGAAAAATACAAGTTTTTCTCTTTATATAAAAGTTTTCAATTTTACTAATAAATATTTTTTATTTTTATATTAAAATAA